TCTAATGACTAGTGCCCTCAAATTCCTAGATCGGGCAACTTCGTTAGATAATAGTTTAGTTAGGGAAAGCCTTTTACACGACACTGATGTACAAAGGCTAATTCGGGCCAATTATAGGCCGCCGAGTAGCTTAGTTACACTAGATGAAGAAGGTCTTCTATATAGAGAGGACACACTCCTCTTCTATCATCGCAGGTTCGGCTCGCTAGACATTGACGACACTGTCTACCAAATAGCCCAGTAACTGGTGTAACGCCCTTTAATTGTATATATTGTATATAGTAGCATGTAAATTAGATTAAGTAGCATAAATAGATTTAAGTTTAGTTTTAATATAGTATGTAAGAAACAAAAATTATAAAACTGTTAGAGTCCTCTTTTTTAAACATCTTTTTTTAGGGGAATTATTAATGTATATTTATTTTGCATTTATGTTTATTGATTAATTGAATTAATATTAGGTAACATTAGCTATGTGACCCCCCTTGTTGTATTAATTAGATAAACTTAGAAAAATAAGAATTATGCTAAGTAATTTTAAGCCATAGACTTAAGAACTATTGTTAGATAATAAGTTATTAAATAACTATGTGTAGAGATCGGATGGAAAAAATAAACTTGAAACTTGAACAAAATTTATCTCTTTTTGTTACAGCCACCACCACAGCAAACGCAGCTCGTTCAACCACCACAGCACAGCAAATCGTTCAACCACCGCAGTAAAATGAACACCACTATAGTCAACCACCACTATACACGAATTAACACTGCCGAAGAGATGTCACTTCACGATATGCACACAAACACTGTAGACACTGTAATAACGTTGCCATCGCCAAGAAAACGAGTATTTATAGAAAATTGTGCTCTTAGCATCAACTTTCGGGGTTGATATGTTAGTGAATTCTTACCTATCGGTATACCAAATGTACACGCACACACAAAAGAGAACATACAATACTAACGGCAAATGTACACACACACATATAACTGTACATACTTTACTTGTGCGTTAAATGGTTGGAGAGAGCCTTAAATTTTGTATAAATACAAGCGGACCTGGGTTGAAAAAACATTCGTATTTTGAACGTTAGTGAAGTGATAAGTGAAATAAACTAAAGTGAAAAAATGACTGGTCGTGGTAAAGGTGGTAAAGGCTTGGGAAAAGGTGGCGCTAAACATCACAGGAAAGTGCTCCGTGATAACATCCAAGGTATTACCAAGCCAGCTATTAGACGTTTGGCTCGTCGTGGCGGTGTAAAACGTATCTCTGGCCTGATTTACGAAGAATCTCGTGGTGTTCTGAAGGTGTTTTTGGAAAACGTTATTCGTGATGCTGTCACCTACACCGAACATGCTAAGCGTAAAACCGTCACCGCTATGGATGTCGTATATGCTTTGAAGAGACAAGGCCGTACCTTGTACGGTTTCGGCGGTTAAACAAATTCTTGACGCAATTTGGAGAAATCTTTTTTACAACAAAACAATCGGTTCTTTTCAGGACCACAAAATATATCAAAAAAGAGATACATTCTTGTTGAAAACTATTTTTTTTAATTAAAATAAATAAAAAATAAACCCTTACCTTAGGAAATAAAGAAATTTTATGTCAAAATTTCTAATATTTTTCTTTTTCAGCTTTCTCGTACTTTTTTCTCACAATTCGTGAAAAATGTCTAAAAATCAAATAAATAAAAAATATAAATACTAACTACTAACACTAATTTTCTCCAGAATATTTTCAACGAAAACATTGTTTTACCGAGGTCTCGTATTTTATTCCCGATCATAAACATGCCGTCGGCAACTCACATCGCTAAACACATTTAGTTGTTCTTCTTCTTCCTTTTCGTATTATATGAGTATAACATAGCGTCGCTTTATGTATGTATTGGTATTATTTAGTCGATATTACTAAAGAACGACCATGCTGTGGTAGCAAAGGAATTTCATTTTGACTTTTTCAAACATTGTTGAATCTTTTCTCAAATTTTATTTAAAAATGGTTGAATATTTTTATTAAATAGATCGTTGATTCATATTATCTTCAAAAATTTCATTAAAAATTTTTAAATTATTCACTAATAATTTCCTTTAAAATTGTATCGAAAATTAAATCATTGATTTTTTTAAAAATTAAAATAACTGAATTTTATTTAAAAATTTTTCATTGAATTAATTTTATTTTATTTATGTTCAATTTACTTATTTAAATTTCAATTAATTTAATTTTTCATTAGATTATTTTTTAAAAATCACATTTTTCGTTTTATTAAAAATTATTTTATTTATTTCCTTATTATTAATTTAAAATTATTTAATTTATTTCCTTATCATTAATTTAAAATTTTTTGATTTCATTTAAAGTATCTTTTATTTTCATAAAATGTATTTATTATTCCAAATTTCTTTAATTTATTTCCAAATATTTTCATTTAAATTTGCTTAAATTTTCATTAATATTTGCCTTAATTTTTAAAAATTTTCTTATTTTATTTTAATTTAATTATTAATTTACGTTATTTTATTTTTCTTTGTAATTATTTTCGTTAATTTTCATTTCATTATGTTACTTTTCTTCTATTTTTTGTGTTAAAAATTTTCCATAGCACCACAATGCGCTTTTATTTTCATGTATGCGTCGATTTATTTCCACCAAAACACTACTTTGCCGCCAAAATTCCATTGCAAATCATCTACTTTATGCCTTCCCCAAAGAATGCGCCGGGGTACGATTTTTTCACATAAAATTACTACAAAGCCACCACCAACTGCCACATGCTTCTTCTTCATGCTATACATACTCATTTGGTGACGCCACGATCTCTCCTCTCTCGCGCTCTATTCCTGAAATCATAAGAGACAACAACAACGACGACAACACAAATATGCAACTGACAACGAAAAACAGTTATTCTGCCAACGTCTCATAGAAAATTATTGAGAATTTTTATTTTTTTTTCATGCAAATGTAGCTTGACGCAATTTTCTTTCTCTTTTCAAATATTTTTTGTCGTCCTGAAAAGGACGGATTGGTTGATTTTTCTATGGAATTATACGATGGTCTATATTCTTCTTCTTCATTCCATAATACCTTTCGAAATAATTTAGGCTTTCTTTTCGGTCTTCTTGGGCAAGAGAACAGCTTGGATGTTTGGCAATACACCACCTTGGGCAATGGTAACGCCAGACAGCAATTTGTTCAATTCTTCGTCGTTACGGATGGCCAATTGCAAGTGACGGGGAATGATACGAGTCTTCTTGTTGTCACGGCAGCATTGCCAGCCAATTCCAAGACTTCAGCAGCCAAATATTCCATGACAGCGGCTAAATAGACGGGAGCACCGGCACCAACACGCTCAGCATAGTTGCCTTTGCGCAACAGACGATGGATACGACCGACGGGGAATTGAAGACCAGCACGATTGGAACGGGACTTTGCCTTTCCCTTAACTTTGCCGCCTTTACCACGACCAGACATTTTCACTTTATTTTAGTTTTAAACACTTCACTTAAGCACTGAAAAACACAAATGATAAAAATTTTCGCCCCGAAACGTGCTATTTATACTTTTCTCACACACACATTTCTTCAATAATGGGGTGGTTTGCCTTGTGTGTGCCTGCTAGCTGTGACTACCTGAAATTCTTGTCGACTACAATCTACAAATTCTGTATAGCTGGCCGTTTTGGTTATCATTTGTGAACAGTGTTAAAAGTGTTTGTGTGATTCAAAAAAAAATAATAAGTAAAAATGCCTCCTAAAACCAGTGGTAAAGCAGCAAAGAAGGCCGGCAAAGCCCAGAAAAACATTACCAAGGGCGATAAGTCGAAGAGACGTACCAAGCGTAAGGAGAGTTACGCTATCTACATTTACAAAGTGTTGAAGCAAGTCCATCCCGACACCGGTATCTCCTCCAAGGCCATGAGCATCATGAACAGTTTCGTCAACGATATCTTCGAACGTATTGCCGCCGAAGCCTCTCGTTTGGCCCACTACAACAAGCGCTCGACCATCACCAGTCGGGAAATCCAGACCGCCGTCCGTCTATTGTTGCCCGGTGAATTGGCTAAGCACGCCGTCAGTGAAGGTACCAAGGCTGTTACTAAATACACCAGCTCCAAGTAAATGTCTTGATATTTTTCATTTTGCGTCGAAATACTACCTTAAAAGGCCCTTTTCAGGGCCACAAAAACATTTCAAAAGAGATCATATTTTGTTGAAGCTACAATTTATCATTATTTAATAATAAACGAATAAAAATCCATAGAAATTGTATTTTTCTCTATACAATGATTTTTCCATGCATTTAGCTAACTCGCATATGTGCCTATGTTTAGCCATTGCTTGTGCGATATGCTATAACAGCCATCGTCGTCGTGTATGTGTGCGTGTGTTAGTGGTGATTTGCCTTGCCGTCGTTGATCAACATCGAATGGGCATCATGTATGTGTGAGCATTTTGTTACAGCACAACGGCAAAGCAACGAAATATAAGGCTGAGGCAGAAATTATCAAAGGAAAAAAATATATTGATGAAAAATGTTAATATTTTGCCAAAATGTCATTTTTGGATGAAATTCTTGAAATTTGACAGAGAATATGAAAATGACAAATTTTTCAAAATTAAGTAGAAATTATAAAAATGACCAAATGATGGGGATTTTCGAGAATTATGACCTGTGGGTAATAAGGAAAATTTTAAATATTTTATTATCTTTTATGACCTGGGTTAAAAAAACAATCCAGTGGCGTCCACGATTATATTGGCTCAATAAAATTACCTAATAAGAACAGTAATTAGCGAAAGTAATTTTTTTCCCAAAATCAAACACGTGTACAAATTTACTTATTCATTTAGGTAACAAATATATACGATAACTGTTGAAAATAAATATTTTTCTCTTTTTTAATTTAATTTGTAGCCCTGAAAAGGGCTGTTAGATAGTATGTTTTCGAATATCGAAAATATTGTGGAAAAAGTAATCTTTCTGGGAAAAATTACTTCTTGGCGGCGGTTTTCTTAGCAGCTGGCTTCTTTGCTGCTGCGGCCTTTTTGGGCTTAGCAGCTGCAGTTTTTGCCTTGGGTGCCTTTGGTTTAGTGGCAGATGCTTTGGCGGCGGTCTTTGCTGGTTTAGCTTTAACTGTACCGGGTTTCTTGGCAGCCTTTGCCTTTGTTTTGTCGGCCTTCTTCTTTTCAGCGGTCTTCTTGGCGGCAGAGGGTTTTTTGGCAGCTGCCTTCTTCTCACCAGCGGCCTTTTTAGGGGCGGCAGCCTTCTTCTTTTTGTCACCAGCGGCTGGGGCCTTCTTCTTCTTTTCAGCAGTCTTTGGGTTCAGTCTTTGGGTTCCTTGGAGGCCGAAGCTGACAATTTGAATGAACCAGAAGCACCCTTACCTTTAGTTTGGATCAATTTTCCACTGGCAACGGCACCTTTCAATTACTTCTTGATGAAGGGGGCCAATTTTTGGGCATCTACTTTGTAGGTGCTGGCCAAGTATTTCTTGATGGCGGGCAATGATGAACCTCCACGTTCCTTCAGGGTCTTGATGGCGGCATCAACCATTTGCTGGGTTGGAGGGTGGGTAGGGGCAGCTGATGGCTTCTTTGCTTTGGCAGCGGCTTTTTTTGGTGCCTTTTTCTCAACAGCGGCAACTGGGGAGGCGGTGGCTTCAACAACGGCGGCGTCAGACATGGTTATTCACTGTTTGGTTTATATTTCACTGTTAACACAAATACACTCACAAATTTATGTGTACTATTATTTTTGTTAGCGGCCTGATTTCATTTCATTTTCGTTTATTTACATCAATTCATTAAACAATATGGAAGATATCTTATGATCTAACAATATTTCTTATATCTACTTAGCATAATTTCTTATTTTTCTAAGTTTAACTAATTACTACAGTTTTCTGGTATCAGCGGTGCTGATACCAATCTATATACTTTTATATCTATAAACTTATAATTATGATTATAATTAAATTGTACTCCTAAAAAAGATGTTAAAAAACTGGAGTCCCTAAGCGGCGAGCTAAAGTGTAGGTACATCGAAAAGATGAGATGTGCATAGTAGTCAATTGGTAAATTTTTCGAAAGATTGTGTGGAAGCGTGTTTAATTTTTTACAAAAGTTTTCGGAGAAATTAAATTTTCCTGAAGAAGCTTTGATAATTTTCACAAAAAATGTTTTATACCTTTAAAGTATAGATTTCAGGCTATGTTTTAAAGAAAGTTTGGTGTAATTATCACTTGCCGTTTGTGAATTATAAACGTTTAACTTGGCAGATTATAAAAATGTAATCACAAATTTCCAACTAAAATTTAAAAAAATCGAATTTTTTATGAAAAATTAATTGAAAATTCTTTTTGAAAATGTAGCCTGATATGTTTACTTTAGGATCAAAGAAAAATATCGATGAAATTTCATATTTTACTATGTGAAAAAATTGAAATTATTATGTGGTCTATGACAGCAGAAATCCTCTTATTGGCATAATTTCAATGAAGAAAAGTTTTTCTTGAAATAAATTTGAAAGCTCAAATCTTAATAAGTTTTATAAAAATTTCTTAAAAAACATTTCAGAATTTGTATATTTACATCAAAATATAACATTATTCACAAAAAGTCATAATTTACGGGGAAAAGTTACAAAATCCCCAGAATACTTCATACTACCAATGTACAGGCATTCACTGACAAACGGTTATGTATTTTCATTTTGCAATATTTTTTATGAAATTTAACATAATTTGTTCTAAAATTTATTAAAAATAGTATTAGAAGCCATTTTCTAAGTTATTTTGTCAAATTTTTGTTACTTTTATGAAAAAATATTCCCAAAAAGAAATTCATCTTTACAGGCAAATATCACCTAGAACACTTGGAAATGTCATGAAATTAATTGCGTTTTACAAAATTGTTTTTCGATCAACTTCAAAGGTAGATATTATTGGCATTTCTTTTTATAATACTTTTAATTATATTTTACATCAAAATTCTCAACAAATCATTTTCTTCTTAAATTTTTAAAAAATAATAAATTATTACCAATTTCTCTAAATACATCGGGCAAAAATAATTTTGTAATTCCATATGGAGAAAATTCATATTCAAATGCCTTAAAATGCGTATAAAACATTTCAAAATTTTGCTGAAAAGGAATAAAACATATTTCATACATCATTCCTGAAAAAAATTAAATAGGAGGGGCAAAATTTTAGCTGGAAATTTTTAAAATTCACATGAAATAATTCGTAGAAATTAAAGGCAGAGAATTTTTTCCCGTTAAATTGAATAGTCCACAACAAAAAAAATGATCGAAGGGGAATAAAATGAGAGAAATAGACAAATTTCGCGCCAAAAATCATGAAGAGAGCAATTTTTTGTTTAACGGGAAAAGGAAAAAAACAAAATGGACAAAAAAAATCCCGTTAGCAAAATGTATGTGGTGGTTGTTATTATGAGTCATAGCATTTTTTTCGAAGAGGGAGTACAAAAATGATAATAATTTTGCAAATTAAAGGAAACTATCAAAATGGATAATTGAAAAAATTCAAATAAAATTAAAAAAATAAAATATTCGATCAAAATAAAATAAAAAAAATAAAGTGACGAAAAATAATCAAGGAAAAAAATCAACATCAAAAAAATACTTTTTATTTTAAAAATTTTCAAAAATAATCAAAGCCCTAAATTTTTTTATTTATTTAAAAAAAATACTAAAATTTGTAGATTGAGTGAAAAAATATCTCTTTTTTGTAAAATATTTGTGGTCCTGAAAAGGACCGATTGTTTTGTTGTAAAATTGTTGCTTTAAAACGTCAAGAATTTAAGCACGTTCTCCACGAATACGTCTGGCCAATTGGATATCCTTAGGCATGATGGTGACACGCTTAGCATGGATGGCGCACAAGTTAGTATCTTCGAAAAGACCAACCAAGTAGGCTTCGCTAGCTTCTTGCAAGGCCATAACAGCAGAGCTCTGGAAACGCAAGTCAGTTTTGAAATCTTGAGCGATTTCACGAACCAAACGTTGGAAGGGCAATTTGCGGATCAACAATTCAGTACTCTTCTGGTAACGACGAATTTCACGCAAAGCAACTGTACCAGGACGGAAACGATGAGGCTTCTTAACACCGCCGGTGGCTGGGGCACTCTTACGGGCAGCTTTGGTGGCTAGTTGTTTACGGGGAGCCTTTCCACCGGTCGATTTACGGGCAGTTTGCTTAGTACGAGCCATTTTTCACTTGAATTTTTTCACTTCACTAGAGATATGCACACAAACACTGTAGACACTGTAATAACGTTGCCATCGCATATTGCATATTTATTTTCCCAAATAATTTAGTTACAAAATTGAACTTAAAATTCTAAGAATTATAATAATAGTTTTCCTAACAGTATTTAAACTTTTTCTAGGAATATAATATATAAGTATTAATTTGAGGTAGGTCAGCCCATTTGTGTTTTAAACTTTGACTTTGTCATAGGATTATTTGTAATTTTAACAAGAAAGGGAAGAAAACTTGTTAATCATTTATAATGAGTACTTACAACTAAAATAAAATACTTAACATACAAAACAAAAACAAAACAAAACTGAATTCAGATACTTAAAAATAAAAATAAAAAAAAAATAAAAAAAAAAAATAAAAAAAAATAAAAAAAAAATAAAAAAAAAAAAATAAAAAAAATAAAAAAAAAATAAAAAAAAATAATTAAAAAAAAAAAAAAAACAAAACTTAAAAACTAAAAAAATAAAAAAAATAAAAAACAAAACTTAAAAACTACTATTTACAATATATACAAAATTTTTACAAAATTTTTATAATTTAATATTAATATTGTTCAGTTCTATATACAAGGTTTTCAATATTGTATGTTCCATATCTTCTGTTGTAAAAAATTATAAAAATGCCTCCTAAAACCAGTGGTAAAGCAGCAAAGAAGGCCGGCAAAGCCCAGAAAAACATTACCAAGGGCGATAAGTCGAAGAGACGTACCAAGCGTAAGGAGAGTTACGCTATCTACATTTACAAAGTGTTGAAGCAAGTCCATCCCGACACCGGTATCTCCTCCAAGGCCATGAGCATCATGAACAGTTTCGTCAACGATATCTTCGAACGTATTGCCGCCGAAGCCTCTCGTTTGGCCCACTACAACAAGCGCTCGACCATCACCAGTCGGGAAATCCAGACCGCCGTCCGTCTATTGTTGCCCGGTGAATTGGCTAAGCACGCCGTCAGTGAAGGTACCAAGGCTGTTACTAAATACACCAGCTCCAAGTAAATGTCTTGATATTTTTCATTTTGCGTCGAAATACTACCTTAAAAGGCCCTTTTCAGGGCCACAAAAACATTTCAAAAGAGATCATATTTTGTTGAAGCTACAATTTATCATTATTTAATAATAAACGAATAAAAATCCATAGAAATTGTATTTTTCTCTATACAATGATTTTTCCATGCATTTAGCTAACTCGCATATGTGCCTATGTTTAGCCATTGCTTGTGCGATATGCTATAACAGCCATCGTCGTCGTGTATGTGTGCGTGTGTTAGTGGTGATTTGCCTTGCCGTCGTTGATCAACATCGAATGGGCATCATGTATGTGTGAGCATTTTGTTACAGCACAACGGCAAAGCAACGAAATATAAGGCTGAGGCAGAAATTATCAAAGGAAAAAAATATATTGATGAAAAATGTTAATATTTTGCCAAAATGTCATTTTTGGATGAAATTCTTGAAATTTGACAGAGAATATGAAAATGACAAATTTTTCAAAATTAAGTAGAAATTATAAAAATGACCAAATGATGGGGATTTTCGAGAATTATGACCTGTGGGTAATAAGGAAAATTTTAAATATTTTATTATCTTTTATGACCTGGGTTAAAAAAACAATCCAGTGGCGTCCACGATTATATTGGCTCAATAAAATTACCTAATAAGAACAGTAATTAGCGAAAGTAATTTTTTTCCCAAAATCAAACACGTGTACAAATTTACTTATTCATTTAGGTAACAAATATATACGATAACTGTTGAAAATAAATATTTTTCTCTTTTTTAATTTAATTTGTAGCCCTGAAAAGGGCTGTTAGATAGTATGTTTTCGAATATCGAAAATATTGTGGAAAAAGTAATCTTTCTGGGAAAAATTACTTCTTGGCGGCGGTTTTCTTAGCAGCTGGCTTCTTTGCTGCTGCGGCCTTTTTGGGCTTAGCAGCTGCAGTTTTTGCCTTGGGTGCCTTTGGTTTAGTGGCAGATGCTTTGGCGGCGGTCTTTGCTGGTTTAGCTTTAACTGTACCGGGTTTCTTGGCAGCCTTTGCCTTTGTTTGTCGGCCTTCTTCTTTTCAGCGGTCTTCTTGGCGGCAGAGGGTTTTTTGGCAGCTGCCTTCTTCTCACCAGCGGCCTTTTTAGGGGCGGCAGCCTTCTTCTTTTTGTCACCAGCGGCTGGGGCCTTCTTCTTCTTTTCAGCAGTCTTTGGGTTCAGTCTTTGGGTTCCTTGGAGGCCGAAGCTGACAATTTGAATGAACCAGAAGCACCCTTACCTTTAGTTTGGATCAATTTTCCACTGGCAACGGCACCTTTCAATTACTTCTTGATGAAGGGGGCCAATTTTTGGGCATCTACTTTGTATGTGCTGGCCAAGTATTTCTTGATGGCGGGCAATGATGAACCTCCACGTTCCTTCAGGGTCTTGATGGCGGCATCAACCATTTGCTGGGTTGGAGGGTGGGTAGGGGCAGCTGATGGCTTCTTTGCTTTGGCAGCGGCTTTTTTTGGTGCCTTTTTCTCAACAGCGGCAACTGGGGAGGCGGTGGCTTCAACAACGGCGGCGTCAGACATGGTTATTCACTGTTTGGTTTATATTTCACTGTTAACACAAATACACTCACAAATTTATGTGTACTATTATTTTTGTTAGCGGCCTGATTTCATTTCATTTTCGTTTATTTACATCAATTCATTAAACAATATGGAAGATATCTTATGATCTAACAATATTTCTTATATCTACTTAGCATAATTTCTTATTTTTCTAAGTTTAACTAATTACTACAGTTTTCTGGTATCAGCGGTGCTGATACCAATCTATATACTTTTATATCTATAAACTTATAATTATGATTATAATTAAATTGTACTCCTAAAAAAGATGTTAAAAAACTGGAGTCCCTAAGCGGCGAGCTAAAGTGTAGGTACATCGAAAAGATGAGATGTGCATAGTAGTCAATTGGTAAATTTTTCGAAAGATTGTGTGGAAGCGTGTTTAATTTTTTACAAAAGTTTTCGGAGAAATTAAATTTTCCTGAAGAAGCTTTGATAATTTTCACAAAAATGTTTTATACCTTTAAAGTATAGATTTCAGGCTATGTTTTAAAGAAAGTTTGGTGTAATTATCACTTGCCGTTTGTGAATTATAAACGTTTAACTTGGCAGATTATAAAATGTAATCACAAATTTCCAACTAAAATTTAAAAAAATCGAATTTTTTATGAAAAATTAATTGAAAATTCTTTTTGAAAATGTAGCCTGATATGTTTACTTTAGGATCAAAGAAAAATATCGATGAAATTTCATATTTACTATGTGAAAAAATTGAAATTATTATGTGGTCTATGACAGCAGAAATCCTCTTATTGGCATAATTTCAATGAAGAAAAGTTTTTCTTGAAATAAATTTGAAAGCTCAAATCTTAATAAGTTTTATAAAAATTTCTTAAAAAACATTTCAGAATTTGTATATTTACATCAAAATATAACATTATTCACAAAAAGTCATAATTTACGGGGAAAAGTTACAAAATCCCCAGAATACTTCATACTACCAATGTACAGGCATTCACTGACAAACGGTTATGTATTTTCATTTTGCAATATTTTTTATGAAATTTAACATAATTTGTTCTAAAATTTATTAAAAATAGTATTAGAAGCCATTTTCTAAGTTATTTTGTCAAATTTTTGTTACTTTTATGAAAAAATATTCCCAAAAAGAAATTCATCTTTACAGGCAAATATCACCTAGAACACTTGGAAATGTCATGAAATTAATTGCGTTTTACAAAATTGTTTTTCGATCAACTTCAAAGGTAGATATTATTGGCATTTCTTTTTATAATACTTTTAATTATATTTTACATCAAAATTCTCAACAAATCATTTTCTTCTTAAATTTTTAAAAAATAATAAATTATTACCAATTTCTCTAAATACATCGGGCAAAAATAATTTTGTAATTCCATATGGAGAAAATTCATATTCAAATGCCTTAAAATGCGTATAAAACATTTCAAAATTTTGCTGAAAAGGAATAAAACATATTTCATACATCATTCCTGAAAAAAATTAAATAGGAGGGGCAAAATTTTAGCTGGAAATTTTTAAAATTCACATGAAATAATTCGTAGAAATTAAAGGCAGAGAATTTTTTCCCGTTAAATTGAATAGTCCACAACAAAAAAAATGATCGAAGGGGAATAAAATGAGAGAAATAGACAAATTTCGCGCCAAAAATCATGAAGAGAGCAATTTTTTGTTTAACGGGAAAAGGAAAAAAACAAAATGGACAAAAAAAATCCCGTTAGCAAAATGTATGTGGTGGTTGTTATTATGAGTCATAGCATTTTTTTCGAAGAGGGAGTACAAAAATGATAATAATTTTGCAAATTAAAGGAAACTATCAAAATGGATAATTGAAAAAATTCAAATAAAATTAAAAAAATAAAATATTCGATCAAAATAAAATAAAAAAAATAAAGTGACGAAAATAATCAAGGAAAAAAATCAACATCAAAAAAATACTTTTTATTTTAAAAATTTTCAAAAATAATCAAAGCCCTAAATTTTTTTATTTATTTAAAAAAATACTAAAATTTGTAGATTGAGTGAAAAAATATCTCTTTTTTGTAAAATATTTGTGGTCCTGAAAAGGACCGATTGTTTTGTTGTAAAATTGTTGCTTTTAAAACGTCAAGAATTTAAGCACGTTCTCCACGAATACGTCTGGCCAATTGGATATCCTTAGGCATGATGGTGACACGCTTAGCATGGATGGCGCACAAGTTAGTATCTTCGAAAAGACCAACCAAGTAGGCTTCGCTAGCTTCTTGCAAGGCCATAACAGCAGAGCTCTGGAAACGCAAGTCAGTTTTGAAATCTTGAGCGATTTCACGAACCAAACGTTGGAAGGGCAATTTGCGGATCAACAATTCAGTACTCTTCTGGTAACGACGAATTTCACGCAAAGCAACTGTACCAGGACGGAAACGATGAGGCTTCTTAACACCGCCGGTGGCTGGGGCACTCTTACGGGCAGCTTTGGTGGCTAGTTGTTTACGGGGAGCCTTTCCACCGGTCGATTTACGGGCAGTTTGCTTAGTACGAGCCATTTTTCACTTGAATTTTTCACTTCACTAGAGATATGCACACAAACACTGTAGACACTGTAATAACGTTGCCATCGCATATTGCATATTTATTTTCCCAAATAATTTAGTTACAAAATTGAACTTAAAATTCTAAGAATTATAATAATAGTTTTCCTAACAGTATTTAAACTTTTCTAGGAATATAATATATAAGTATTAATTTGAGGTAGGTCAGCCCATTTGTGTTTTAAACTTTGACTTTGTCATAGGATTATTTGTAATTTTAACAAGAAAGGGAAGAAAACTTGTTAATCATTTATAATGAGTACTTACAACTAAAATAAAATACTTAAACATACAAAACAAAAACAAAACAAAACTGAATTCAGATACTTAAAAATAAAAATAAAAAAAAAATAAAAAAAAAAATAAAAAAAAATAAAAAAAAAATAAAAAAAAAAAATAAAAAAATAAAAAAAAAATAAAAAAAAAAATAATTAAAAAAAAAAAAAAACAAAACTTAAAAACTAAAAAAATAAAAAAAATAAAAACAAAACTTAAAAACTACTATTTACAATATATACAAAATTTTTACAAAATTTTTATAATTTAATATTAATATTGTTCAGTTCTATATACAAGGTTTTCAATATTGTATGTTCCATATCTTCTGTTGTAAAAAATTATTTTTTCATTGCTATCAAATAATAAATTGTATGTTTCTAAGTAGGTTAGACACATAGGTGACAAATAGCCATCATTTTGTAAATATCTTATGAACATTCTTCACTTATTACTCCATTTAGAATGATTGAGTTATTGCAATTATTGCAACTATTTATGAATTTAAGCCCAATTTTGGTCATGAATTTATCAATTCAATCTAGCTTGCTGGTGTTATTTATTAATTATTATTAATTATATTTATTATTTAATGATGGTGATCGGAATCTTCCATCATCAGTTCTTTCTGCCCTCATATTTAGGCAGTATGCTAACATTTTTCGTTCAAAAACCATAATTTTTTCCATCTGACTAGAAGATATGCTGAACCAAATTGGGAATGCATAAGTTATGATTGGTCTTAATATCTGTTTATAGATACACATTTTTATGTCCCTGCTAAGCCCTCTTTTTGAACTTAGAACATAATGCAATTTTTGAAAAGCTACCTTTACTTATTAAATGAGTAGTTTTCTTCAAAGAACACTCCCAGATATTTGATTACGGACACGTTTTCAATTATATTGTTATCTATTTTTATTTTAGGCCTTGTTTTCTTTCCTTTAATTATAATAGACTTACACTTATTTATGTTAAGTCTTAATTTCCATTTTTTAAAATAATCGTTTAATATTACCAGATAATCATTAAGTTTTTGCTGTGCAATTTTCGCTCTTGGGTGAGTGGCCGCTATCAGAATATCGTCTGCAAAGGACAGAACTAGCAATTCATTTTCAGGCTGGGGTAAATCTGCCAGGTACAAATTATATAAAACCGGACCAAGTACCGATCCTTGGGGAACGCCGGCTTTTATATTATATGTGGAGGAGTGGGATTTTTCTACATTTACAGCAAATGTTCTGCCATTTAAATAATTACTAGTGAGCCTTACTAAAGCCCTGTGGAAATTATAATTAGCTTCTATTTTACTTATAATGCCTTTTTGCCACACCGTGTCAAAAGCTTGTTCAAAATCGAGGCTTACTGCGATGGTGGCACTTCTCTTATTGAAACCGCTAGATATCTGATTTGAAAATGCTAGAAGAGCATGTGAAGTTGACAATCTCTTACGAAATCCAAATTGGAAATCTTTAAGCAAATTATTTTCATCAATGTGTAAATTAATCCTTTCCAAAATGAAAATTTCAAATAGTTTGCCTGAATTTGACAATAGAGATATTGACCTATAACTACAAGGGGAAGTTTGGTCTTCTCCCGGCTTTAAAATAGGTATTACCATTGCGTGTTTCCACTTATTTGGGAAATACCCTAAATTAAGACATTGATTAAATAATATGGCAAGCTTTTTCCATAATCTACTGTCGATTTTTGAATTATGAAATTCGGAATTCCGTCAACCCCGCTGCTTTATGGCGATCCTTATATCTTCAATCTTAAAAAGTTTTAGATTCCCATTCTCAGCGCCGTTTCCATATGCAGTAACCCCATTTCCAAATGTAACCACAGACTCATTCTCCACATGAGTAGGGAATGAGTCATTAAAGTTACTCTGAATCTTGGAGTACTGCTCTGCTATTAGATTAGCTTTTTCTTTATTATCATGAATTATTTCATTTTGTTCGTTTAGTAATTGGGAAATTTTGGTTCTTTGAATCGAGCATAATTTTTAACTTTTTTATACATGTCACCATTTTTGTTATGCTGTTTAGTCTACTTTCATAATAATTTTCCTCAAATATTTTGATTTTTTCTTGGATTATTTTATCCAGTCTTTGTAAAATAGATGTTAGAGTAATATATTCTATGCCTTCTTCTCCTCAGATTTTTCTTTTGTTTTATCAATAACATAATATCCTGTGGAAGCTGTACCATCATTCCATATTTTGGTCTATATTTTACCATACTTTCGTTCATTGCTGTAACTAGAATATTTGTTAAGGTTTCAACTTCTGCATCAATTTCATCAATTGTTGCATTTCTATTGGCTGGGAGACAGAGTCTGCTCTTTTGATCATCTATAGTGTTGTTAAATAAATTTCTGTTAAATGATTTAAAATCAAAGAACTCTTCATCTGTTCTTTATACAATAGTAATTGTTTTTATATTAATCAAAATTGCTTTATGATCAGAATTATAATCCAAAGTTTCTACACATTTCATTGGATCAGGTGCCGAAATCGCCATATTTGTGGAGGTAATAGATATGTCAATGTAAGAATGGTAGTTAAATTGACTCCTTGTTGGGTTATTTGACGGTCTGATTAATAAGTTAGGGGTTGTGTTTAGCCAATCGGCAAGAACCCTCCCACTAACATTTACATCCCTACCTCCCCATAGAGGGTGTTTGGCATTTAAGTCTGCCCCGATTATAGCTTCTTTATTTCCAATAATATTCCCTATGTTAACGAGGTCACTCTTTCAATATTGCCTAAAGGTTTTCTATATAGAGACATTATTATTAAGTTAGTAGGACGGCCTTTAACTTCAATTATCGTTCCCTCCAATTCTCCTAAATTTGCCTCAATGCGTTGTGCCCTAATCCAGTTTTTAATTAAAATTGCATTTCCTCCTCCTCTTCCGCGACCACTTTCCCTATCTTGACGAAAGACTGTGTAATTTCTTAATTGAAACGTGTGTCTGTTTGTGAGTTTATGCTCAGCTAACAGAAGAATATCTGGGTCATGTTCATTTAAAAAAATATTCAAATAATGCCTTTTGTGACGAGACACAATAGAATTTACGTTTATAAAAATTATTTTTAACTTAGTCATTGAGACGTAAATTTAACAATAATCCAAAAATAGCTTGAGATTTTTTTCGTCAGTTTTCAGGGTGTTTCTAATTTTAGCATATTCATCAATTTTTCTAAAAATTGTAAACATGTCTTTTCCGATGTATTTTATGCAGTCATTGTTAAAGATGTCAAAAGCATGGGCATCGCCATGTGTCATTTTTTGGGGTACTTTTGTAGCCGTTATTTGGCTGCTTTTAGTTACATTCGAGTAGGATAAATTTGGATTATGTGGTGGAGCCTTTTTTTCTAAGGTTAATTTTGCACCCATTTTACCTTTATCTTTCATTCTTTGGACTATTTTTTCCCTTGTTGGGCATTTTCTGTAACTTGCTACATGACCGTATTGTTTGCAATTAATGCAATACACAGGTTGTCCTATTTGTTTCTTAATTTGCCCCGTAATGGGATCTTTAACAATTGTTTCTTTATTGTTTTCCTCCTTGGGAGGAATCGAACAGTTATTTGGTTCGTGGGTTTTATCACATTTAACGCATCTGTAAATCATGTTACAATTTTTTGAAATATGCCCTATTCGTTGGCACCTCTTACAAATGATGCTATTGTCACTTTTATAATTTTCTATGCTAACTCCGCATTGAAAAATGTATTTTTGCCTTTTAAAGGCTTTTATGTCACTGTCTCTCGACAGTTGTATTACAAAACTATTTAGACTTAGTTTTCTAACATTAATAATATTAACTTTCATTTCAGAAAGATTATAATATTCCTTGATGTCATTTTCATCATAATTTCCTGATAGTTTTTTAATAACCAATGTTATTGGTTTATCTTCCTTAAGGGAATATGTATAAAAACTATAACCCTGTTCTATTAGTAGGTTTTTAACTTTAGGGTGGTCCTCACTTTTAGTTAGTTTAATTGTGATCATATTTTTATTCACAATTTTAATAGTAAAAAGATTATGCCCTAATAATCTATTAATTTTATTAGTAATTTCTTTGACATTGACATTGTATATTTTAAAAACAGGAGGAGGGCTGACCTTACCTTGCTTTTGTGTAGTTGTGTTTGTTTGAGTTGTTGTTGGTATATCATTGTTGCAGCTACCCTCTTCAATAACCGCTGTGTTGTTGTTGTTGTTGAAATCATCCACCGTCATTGTTTCTGGCATTTCTTCTTCATTGTTCACGATTCTCACTCGTATATTCCTTTTGGTTTTAGCCTTTGGTTTATTGGCAGACGCCGTACCGAAGCCCCTGCTTGCTTCGGCAGCCCAATCATTATTTTTTATTTCATTATTCTCACTCACTTTAGATGAATTTTCTTTCATTATTTTTATTTCATTTTCAAGCTCAATGACACGAGCTTTAAATAGTTCACGGTCTTTAGCAAGTTCATTTATTATGCTTTTAAGTTTTGTAATTTCTATTTCAGTGTCACTGTCACTACTGTGCTTTTCTTTTTTTTCTTTTTCTAAGTTTTTTATCTTTTTCACAAGCTTTCTGTTTATCTTCAGTAGTTATACTACTGTGATCTGAGAAAAAAATCACTGTTTTCCATTTTAGTAATGTCTTTTTTTGGGTCTTTGGCTAATAGCCTTGCCCTAATTAAAATAAAGCT